ACTTATCAACTATACTCGTTTTTTTTAATTAGTTAATATGAAACAACTCAAAAGTTAAATTTTAGAGGATGTTTGGATACAAATAAATTTGAATTTTGATTGGATTTGTTGGTCTACCCGGGACAATTTCATTGGGGTGGTTTTCAGGCATCAATTAGGGCTCTTTCATCACGCAATGCTTAGGGCTCTTTCATCACGCAATGCTTAGGGAAAAGGGGGAAAATGGTTGAATATGGATTTTGAGTTTATATTAAAAGTAATATTTAAAATAAATAATTAAAGTTGTTTTGATGTAAAAGTATGAGAGAGCTGATTGAAAGTAATGAAGAGTTAAATAGGTGTGAGTGTAGATGGATAGTGAATTAAAGTTGATGTGATGTGATGTGTGAGAATGTTTAATTGATATTACTTAATTAAATTGGTAATATATATTGAGAAAATTGAGTTGAGTTATATTTTGAGTTAAAAAATGATTGGTCAAAAGTGAATAGATAAATTTGTACCCAAGCAACCACTTGGACCAAAAACTTCTTAAATGAAAATAATCGAACTGAACCACACCGAATAGCAGGGTTGTACTCTAACTTTTGGTTTATGTTTTGGTCACCCCTACTTATAATGGATTTAAGATATAGAGTAACAAGACTAAATCATTAGTAGTCATACAAAACTTTAAAAAATTATTCTTAAATTTTAAAATTAATGATAAAAATTATTTTAAATTTCATTTAATTTTTACAAAAACCATATTATTATTATATATTTTAGAATGCCACTTGTTATGTGTGTGACTTATATGTATTATTTTATAGTAACTTTTGTCACTTATATTATATAACTACTTGGAATATAAATATATTAAATGATAAATAATTTAAATTTTTTAATTAATATTAAAAAATAATTTTATTATTGTTATAAAGATCAAATTCCTTGCCAGCCTATCGGAGAGGGTAATTTTAATTTTTTTATACACAAAATATGGATGTTAAATCGAAACTCATCAAAAGATGATTAATCTAATATATTATATATGTAAAACTGATAAAATACAAAAATTATTAGCTTTCAAAATCTACAATTCAATGGTTATAATGAGAAACTAGTACGTAACTCGTGCGATGCACGGGACAAAGATATTAAATGAGTTATTTTCACAACCTTATACGTTTAAGCCTAAAAAGGAATTATGTTATTATCTATTTTCTACCTCTTTTAATCAACGTTAAGTATAAAAATTTATTAAGCCGCCATCTGGCAAATATGTATGGAGTTATGTGTTCGTGTCTCATAAGTCAGAAACATTATGAATAACATTACAAATTATTCATTCAAACTTTTATTCATTGCAAATATATTAAAATAATTTATATAACAGCCATTAAATACCAATTTCAATATATTTATAAATAAAAATTATATAAAATTTCCGGTGTGTTCAAATTTAAATAATTTTTATGGGCTCAATTTTAAATCATCCACACATTTGGTCAAACACATAGGTATGTTCAAATTTAAATCATTGTCATTTTGGTCGGTTGAAATTTAAATCATCTACAATGATACTGTGATGTGTATTATATATATATATATATAATTTTAACAAATAATATGTGCTTTATCAAAATAATAATAATAATTTCACAAGATTTTAAATGTAAAATTTGGTATTTAATCACAATAGAAAAATCATAGTAAGTTGTATTGAAAAGGTGTTATGAGATAAAACAATTAAATAAAATAATTAAATAAAATACTTGATGGAAATAGAATGCATTAATTACCTTTGACTTTTCTTACTACTAATTATAGTAAATAGATTGTCTTTTTATATAAGTATAGATAATAATAAATTAAATTAATGAAACATACTATTTATAAGTTGCATTAAATGCTAACCTATTTTTTTGCTACCATTTTTTGTAAATGAGATGGCTTATTATATAAGTATAGATGATATTAAAATAGAAGTAATATATGTAATATGACCATAAATAATCAACATATTTATGGATAATCCGGACCTAATTGTTTTTGGGTTGGAAATAAATTAAAATCTATCCAAGTTAGCCTAACAACGAAGATTGTAATTTTGCCACATAAAATTTCGAAGCATACGAGTCTGCCACTTAAGCTTAACACATTTTGAATTAATATATAGGAGGGTATAACTATTTGATCTTTTTTTATTTTTAAAGGCTTTTTCAGTTTTGCATGGTCTTTGATATGCTGTAAATGGAAAAGATATCGAGTTGAAGTCCACACTCAGACAACAACTAGTGCATGGCCCATGCGATGCACGGGAAAACAATATTAAGATTGTGTTATAAATTAAATATACAAATAAATTGATCAAGATTTTTCCATCGTTTTTAAATTAAACTGTGTTGGACACAATCCGACCGGATGGACCGAGAACCAGTTTATAATCAGTCTAGTTCATTTGAATAAAATACTTGTTATTGAATCCGTCAACACCAGTCGGTTGAACTGGTTTGATCGATACGATTTTCTAAAGAAATCTGGCTATATTTAAAATTACATATTTAAATAAAATAGAGATTTATTATTTGTTTATCAATTAATTTAAACATTTGAAATTTTAAATTGTTTAGATTTTTATGTAACACACTTTATTCACTTTATTACGTACTATACATGTGTGTGTGTGTGTGCGCACGCGCATGTATATTAAAGCGTATTTTTAAAGAAAAAAATATTAAAGCGTATTTATAAATTAAATTGTATATTTTTTAAAGAATAAAATAAGAAAAATAATAAAACTACTATTTATGGGCTGCATTAAATATTGACCTATTTTTTTACTACTAATTTTAGTAATAAGATGACTCTTTATATAAGTAGATATGAAAGAGAACAAGCGCTAGCATGTGATTTGAATGCTAAAGTAGTTTAAATATATTTTACCTTTAGGAAATAATTTACACAATAGTTTAATAAGTAAGCCCCAACTTTAATTTATTATTAATTATATGCAATTTGATTAGTAATTATATGCATTTTGATTATAATACTAGTCGATCATGTGCAACTGCACATATGCAAATAAAATTTTATATGTTATATATGTGTATATAATATTTAAAACTATAAGGTAGAAAATGAGCATATCACATTTTATGATTAGTAAATTAGTAGAAATGAACGATATAAATATAAACTATTTAACTTACATATGAATCTTTATATTGACAACAATAATATAATTTTTGCAAGCTGATTATGTCAAATTAATTAGACAAAAAAATATTAAAATTTATATTACAACAATTGTGGGTGTGCCATAAAATCAATTAACTAATTATAATAAAAAAAAAAATTCCTTAATGAGCTAAAAAAATTACATAATATTTTAAATAAATAGCATGAAAAAAGTTTTAGAATAAAATATCATCTATTGTGATTTTATGATTAGTTAGTAGCGAATATTATATAAATAAAAATATATTTACTTTATTAATGTGAAATATAATATAAAAGATCGAAAAAGCAAAAAACATTTATCATATTTTTTTATAACGATTATATATATATACACACGCGTGTATTGTAAATAAAGAAAAATGAAATATACAAATAAAAAATAGCAAAATCCTTTTTAAAACGTTACGGCCACATTGTAATCGACATAAAAAATTGGGTTGAAATTATGGTGTCATATGATCACTTATTCTTGATTTATTTTGTTAAATTATGAAATAGACATAAAAAAGGTGAAAATAAGAAAATTGTATTTTCTAACGATAGTAACGTAGGATTTAAATTTGAAAAAGTAATAATAATTATAAAAAAGAAATATATACGAATATATGTCGAAATAGTTACAAAAATAGTGTAAAACTAATTAATCATGGATAAATAAATTGTAGACGCAAATTAAGATGTCAATTGCTTATTTATTCTTGTTTTTTTGCCAAATAAAAAGTATTATATTAAAAGATGTGCAGCAATTTTTGTGGACAATATGAATTTTAAAAAAATACTTGTTATGGAAGGATTTATGTTGGACATATTTAGTTGATTGACCAAGACTTATTTTTGTGTATTGTATTATACATTAATAATTTATATTGTATTTAGTTACACGAGGGTGCACATTTTCCATTGAAAGAAACAATTGAATATTTGTTTATTTGTTATTTAATTGTTTTGGTATTATGTTTGTAATAAAATATTACTGTATAATTCTTTTAAGCCTTTTCATAACATAAAATAAAATTTCAAAATTAAAAACAAAATCTTTATTCAAGTTCGGTCTTTATCACATCTTGACGTGTTGTTGAAGAAGTTGATGTTTAGTCACGACCAGTTACATGGAGTTGTTTCTCATGTCACCCATGGAAAGAGCTTTAAAATAGTAGTTTGTTGAGCAAAAAATGTTGTTTGCAATGAGATATTTAATAATGTATCATATTATTTTTTTTATTATATTTATTTAAATTTTTTTATTCATAAATATAATAATATAGCTGTGTGAATAGTCTTAAAATTGTCCACTCGTGCTGTCCCGCACTAGTTAAAAAAAAAAAAACAAACAAAAAAACAACTCAATGGTCTATATGAAATTAATGTGATAAAACAAAAGCTACACCATTATCACAACCAAAACCACTATTAATATATTATTGGTTCTAATAATTTGAAATTAAATAGATAAATGTAATATTTAATGTGAATATATTATTGTGAAATATTAAATAATATATTTAACTTTCTTTTATGATTTTATAAGGAACATATTATTATGTTCATGCTTTTTCTTTTTTTAAGTAATTTTTTTGTTCATAGCTAATACAATAGAGCTGAATTAAATTTGCTGCAGCTGATATAATTCGCAAACCTGCAGGCTCTTCAGAAAATTTTCTCACTATTGCTGCCCTTTTCAAAATGTACTGTGTATGTATATATACACACGCTTAAACATGTATGTACCCACGCATCATCGTCATAATTTGGCGATTAAACGAATTTGATCGGAGATGATGTCCGGCAACTACTCATCCCTCGACAATCAAAACGACTCCGGATATGTGCCGGTAACTTTTTTCCCCTCATTGTTTGTTTTTTGAGCTTGTGGTCGTAGATCCAACATTCTTTCACCATTTTGACTTCGTCTGTGATTGATTTCCATGGCGGATTTATGTTGTTGCAGACCGTCGCCGATCGGCCTTCCCACGTTGCTGTAAAGTTTACCGGTTGGTTTATTATTGATTAATTATCATTTGAGTTGATTAATTTATAGTTTGATTGTTTGGTGATGTTTGTCTAGATTACAGTCTGCAGACTTTTGCGCCGGCCGGAGCTCACGGGAAGATATCTGATGCCTCGGGACCCCCTCGTGATGCTGATGGTATTTTTTTAATTTTTTTTAGTTATTTGTTGAGTTTATACAATGGTGAAGCTATTAAGATTTATTTTGGGCGATTCTGAGCTGTGCTGCAAATCGAGAAGTAGGACTGTTTCTGAATTGGTTCTTGTGAACCCTGCCATAGCTATAATAGGAATTAGGATGCCCCAAACATTCAGAATTAGATAAACATGCACTGTTTGATGATATAAGATGGTAGAGAAATAGGGCATGGAGATAATTATTGGCTTTCCTCTTCTGACTATAGATCGCATACTTTTGAATTGTTATGTTTGTTATCTACCGATGATTGGGCCCTGAGGATATGAAGTTTGTACAGGGTATGGCCTTGGATCATAGTACATTGCTTGTTGAATCTTGTAAAGAATGATTTGAAATTGGAGAAGGCAAGATGCTCACTTCCAAATATATAAATGTATTGATGATATAAACTGAAAAATGTTAGACATAGTGCTCTAATTTTTTTTATAGTTGTATACCCAGCGAGATTTTCTAAATGAGATTTTCGAGAGTAGGAGGTTCATTTATTGGGGGATTTTTACATGTGGAACTTTACTCGCATGCATATAAGATGTACTGAGGATTGTGAAGATTAATATCAGCTATTGCTATTCTTCGTGTTCCTTTTAGGGGCCAGAATCAACTTTTCTAGAATTTGTTTGATCATTTAAAGAAAAGCTAACCACCCTTCATTGGAAAAAGATATGGATCAATTATTAAAGTATACGACCAAGTTCAATGATTTTTCTTTCACTCTTCATATACTTACTAACTGTATTTTTAATGAGTTTTATATTTGATTTTATTATCTTCTATTTGAGTTATGGTTTGTAATAAGAAAACTAAAAATCATGCCTTGCTTTGTTCGTTTAGACACATTTTTAGCAAACCTGTATCTGGTTCTGATGAGCCCCAGCAGAATGGTTGGTTCCAATCCTTCACAATTGCTGCATACAGGCCCTACTTTGATGTTGACACGTCTGATGTTCTAGAAAGGATCAGAGATTCACTCTTTCCTTTCAGAGGAAGCTTCTCCGAGAAGACTGCAAGCAACCCAGATTTGTAAGTCTTGCTGTGTTGCATCGTTTTCTTGCAATGATCAATTATGCATACTTTCTTCCTTTTGCTTTATGGAGCTGGGCATATTAAGTCGATAATGGAATAACAGACATCTTTCTGATGATTATCTATACAAAGGGTCAGTGTAGAGTTTGACCCTTTGTGGATCATTTAAGAGAGGTAATGCTTCAAGCGTATGCCATCTTTACGTAATCGGAAGTTTTGCAATTTAGCTTATTACTTAAATTTGTGGTTCAGTTTTACCATGGTCCTATGTAGTGATCCTTTATGTCTCCTAAAGCAAATGTTGAATGGGATTTAACTGGAAGATAACAAGAGAATGAAGACAACTTCTCCACTCCGAACAGTTTATCCACTGTCTTTGTAACCAACTTCATCCGACTTCTACAACTTTAGCGTTACAACTTTAGCGTTCTTCTCATTCTGTTGTCTAGTCGCATTCTTCAGATTTTGTTATCAAATCCATCTTTTTTGTTTTCGCTTACCACCGTTCACTTAGCTTCCAATACATCGTATCTAACACATTGTCAGATATGGGCCTTTTTGGATATGCACTACCTTGATATTTGTGGCGGCTTCCATTGGTACATTTGTCACTTACATAGCACATAAGCTGCAAAAGAAGGAATGGGACTATGACATCAATCTCGTGACCTGGTCTGCTGGTTTGTTCTATGGCTATGTCAGATTAGTACCACTTGCGTTGTATATTGTCCTCAAATACTTCTCTGCCCCATTTGGCCTCGTTCAGCTGCTTTGTCTGTACACAGTATTTGTATATGTAATTAGATTAGTTTAATCCGGAGGTTTCCATCAAGATTTAATCAGGCGGCACACGATGCTTTTCTGTTTGCTTGCAGTGTTTGTCGGTTATTCCTCAGGAGATTTTCCGGTGGGTCATTGCCGGTGTAGCTGGTTTCATGTTCGCCTCGTTTGTGGCCCTAAACCTCAGAAATCACATCAAGTCTGCCGGAGAAAGTTGGTTCCTTATCGTGGCTGCTATCTTCTTCTTGCAACTTGCTCTTGCTTTGGCCCTTAAATTCTATTTGTTCACCGTGCCCGTGTAAAAAACTAGAAACCACAGCAAATCAGGTGAAGAAAGTTTTTTTTTTTTTTT